GGCAGAATGGGGACTGATCCCCAGCCCGTTGGGCTCCAGAGTCCTGGCTTAGACTCCTTGGCAGGCTGTGGGGGTCAGTTTAGTGGACAGAGACCAAGCATCCTGACCATCTCTGAAAACCGACAGTTGTTTGTGCTCCCTGCTGCGCCCGGGAGTACAGGCAATGCACACTTGTGGTCCAACTGGCTCAACTTCGGCGAGGCTGGGGCTTATCTCTGGCCCCCAGAGGTTTTACTGCAGACATGGGAGTGTATGTGACTCTCAAGAGCTGCCCTGGCCCACAGGGGTGCGTGCGGCCCTGGGGCTGGGGCTCTGTTACCACCATGCCATCCACTGGGACATCTTCCTTGCCCACCAGCATGCCCAGCTGTCGTGTTGGTGGTGCTGCGGGGTCACACCTTGGACCCACCCAGTGGCTTTCGGGGAGAAAGACCTGATGATGTGTCCCCTTTAGACAACAGTCTAAAAACCAGCACTGTCACGGGGAGGTCACGATGACGCGGAATCGCCTCCGCAGCCCCCATGGGTGCCCCCCTCCCCCAGGAGCCGCCCAGTCAGCTGGCCGTGCTGTGCCTGATAACCCAAATAAGACAGGAGCGCTGATTCACTTCAGACACGGCTTTTTAAAGCACAGCTATCGCAGTGTGGAGACTTGACGGGACTCCTGAGAGCCTGCCAAGCCCTCCAGAATAGCAGGGTGGCCCGGCCTTGCTGCAGCGTCCTCCCCCTGGGAGTCCACCTCTGTGAGGCCTGAGCACCCATGTAGCCTCCGGCCCTGGGGCAGGCCTGGTGCGGCCTCCTCATACCACGCCCTCCTGGGGTGCTGGCTCTATCCCCCCAACCCCCTTCTAGAAGCCGAGGGAGCCTCCACGCAGGAACGCCTAGGTCCAGCCGTGCCGCAGCTCCCTGGAACTGGTTTCCGGCCCTTTCCCCACACCCGCACCCAGCAGAGGCTAGGGGCCCGAATGGAATCCCCGTGGCTGCTTGGGTCGGCACAGTGTCACCTCTCTGGGCCTCAGGGACCTCATCTGCCAAACGGGGACGGAGAGGCCCCGCCCACGGGGAGAGGGCAGGCCCTCGGCCCACAGGGGGCGCCCTCGCGGCGGGGGGAGGAGGCGCAGCAGGCGGTGAGAGCGGCGAGCTGGGCTGCCTGCCGGCCGAGGAAGCTGGCAAGTTTGGGGAAGGTGTGCCCTGGCTGATTGGCCTCCAGCCCAGCAGAGGCTTGGACTTTATCCTGGGGGCCTGTCGGCCACGGGCCCCACGCCCCCGCCCCAGGTGCAGCCGGGCCTGCCGGTCTGGGCCTGCCCTGTCAGAGGCCGCCCGGCTATTTGTGATCCGTCTTGCTCCGCACCCCTCGCTGCTGGGGGTGGGGGTGGGGCCACGCCCCTGGCGGGGTCTGCGAAGCCCGCACCCTTCCTGTTAGAATCCCCGATGGCCATCCTAGCACCTTCCGGTCCCTTGTGTCGAGCATGCCCAGTGCCCTGGACGGTGATAGGTGTGATCAGCCTGGCCCCAGGGGGCCCACCCGCCCATCTCGGAGGCTCGCTTGCCTCTTTCAGGGCCCAGCAGCCCTCAGGAGGAACTGCCCCAACTCCCGTTTTATAGCAGACCAAAATGAGGCGCAGAGCGGTTGGAGCTGAGGTTTGAACCCAGGCCGCTTGGTTGCGTGGCCCCAGTCTTCACCTCCCTTCGTAGGAGTAGATGGAAAGACGTCATTGATCCTGGGGCCACCAGGAAATGCAACCCCCTCCCCACTCCATGCCCTAATTCTCCCCAGCAGCCCTGGCAGGTAGGGGCTGAATAGGGTTCGGTGGGCCTTCCAGACTGAGGACCCTAGGAAGAAAGGCCTGGCAACTTGGCCCCTGAAAACACCCACTGAAAACCTGTGGACCACAGTGGTGCACCACCAAGGAGATGGCCCAGGCCCAGCAGCATTCCGTTCCTGTGTGGGATTGCCAGGGGTGGGGGCCAACTCAGGGCAGTGACCGGCAGTAGGAGAGAAAGCCCAGGCACCAGCTCCAGGCCACCTAGCCG